TCCAAGTCTAACTAAAGAAACAGACTAGCAAAGTGAAAACATAATAGGCAAAGCAGAGGGAATAATTCTAGTTAATGTATGAAATAATAATAAAATAGCTAACTTAACACTTAAGTTTTCTATAAGTTTATATAAAAATATAAAATAAACAATAACAGCAATTAAAATTATTATTAAAAGAAATTATATTCCTTTTCTATAAAATTCAAATTCCATAATTTTTGGGTATAACATAGACCTGAACATTTATCCTTTATAAGAACAATAACCAGTCCTTAAAACTACTCCTAAATTCTCTATTTCCTCATTTTTTTAAACGACTTTAGTTCCTTCTAATAGTATATGTCTTTTCATATTTTTAAAATTGAATAATTCTTGTTAATTATCAGCTTATTTTATGCATAATTTTGGAATAGGAATCGATTCGCCTGTTAAACTGCTTTCGTTTACTAAAACATCACCTTAAATTAATAATGAATCGCATGGAATCAACATTTTATTTTTATAAATGAACACATCTCCAGGCAATAAATCCTAAGAGTCCAAAACAATTAATTTACCATCCCTATAAACATCTATTTTTATCTAAATATTTGCAAATTTCCTCAATTTATTCAACTAGTACCTTAAGAGTATATAATTAACTATCGTACTAATCACTGAAACTAAAATCATGACAATTGCGAACAAACCATAGCCTTACACAATCCAAATAGCGCATGAAATATATTAAAAAATGAAGAATATTTCTGTCAAAACGTGTAGTAAATATTCTAATAGCTATGGAATAGGAATATGTATTTTGCACAATCCATATTTTTCCTTCTTATATAAAATATTTTCCTTTTTATTTTCCAATCCATTTTTATGCTTTTAATATAATTCTTCTAAAGTATAATTTTCAACATCCCTATAATAAACAGGAATAAATCCATAATTTTACTCATCATATTCATATTTTAAATGTCTGTTTTCAAATCCAAAACTATTATTTTTATATGTATTTTTTTTAAGAATTTCATATGTTTGATCGTTATTTTAAACCAAAAAATGAGTACAATCAGACAATTTATTACATCTACTATATAGAGATTTTAATCTTAGTCTGACACTGTTTCTCAACAAAAGAGCATATATTCCAAAACTAAGTATTATTAAAAATATTGTTAATAAAAGTTTCTCTATTTTTAATTAAAGTGCATATATATTTTTGATAATCTACTATCCTTCGACATCATTTACAAGCATTTTTAGTTGATTTTTGTTGGTAATTATTAGATTTTGAGTATTTGTAGATTATTTATTTTAATTACATTATGATCCTCGTTTTTAATCTTAAATTTCATTTAATAAATTTAAACTTCCTTTTGACTCACCTGTATATTTTAGATGTTCAACTGTTTGTAACATTTTTTAACTTTCTATTTATTTTTTTATTAATTTATAAAAATTTTTATTATGTATATAATTTATTAGAGGTTTATTTTTTGTATATAAAAAATTTAAATGTAGATTTTTTTAATTTTATATTTATATAGTATAATAAATATATAAATGTATAAATTATATGACTATATTTAATATTATTATATATTATTATAAATAAAATATTTATTTTTTAAATTTAGACATATATTTAAATTATTTTTACATTAAAATTTAGATTACGATTTATAAAAAAAAAAATTAACAAAAAGATAAAATATGAGAAAAACAAATAATTTATTATATATTTATATAAAATTTTATATAATTTGATTTAATTTTTATATAAATTGTTTTATTATAAAAAAAAAAAAAAAAATTATAAATATATTTAATAAATATAAAAATTAACAATCAAATTATAAGTAAATAAAAAATATTAAAATTTAATTGAAATAATTATTAAATATAAATAATAAAAAATTAAATTAAAATTTATAATTTAAGAAAAATATATTTAAGAAATATAAAAATATAATTTAAAATATATATAAAAATAAATTAATATTAAACTAAAAATTAAAATTAAAATTAATCTAAAAATTAAAATTAAATAAAATAAAAAATTAAAATTAATTCATAACAAAAATAAAAATGATTAAAAAATTAAAATTAAAATATAAATTCAATTAATATATAAAAAAAAAAAAAATTAAATATACATAAAAAAAATATAAATTAAGTATAAAATTATTTTTATATAAAAATAAATTTATATAAATAAATATAATTAATTATAAAAAAAAAATACAAACATATTATATTTATTATATTAAATATAAATTAAAATTATATTTATTTAATAAATATTAAATAATTTATACAAAATCCATAATAAAATAAAAATAATAAACAATATCATATTAATTTAATATTTATAATAAAAAAATTATGCAATTAATAATTGCTACATATATTATTATTTTGACATTATACGGAATTCATAATATATTTTACACATTTTTTTAAATAAAATATCACTTGTTTCTAATATATTATATTGTAATCTTTATAAAAAAAATATAATATAATTATTTATATATAAGAAATATAATATAATAACTTTTTATAATTAATTAATAATTTTTAAAAATAATAAAAAAGGCTCAAAAAATTTAAAACAAAAAAATATAAAAAATAAAAAATATCTTAATAAAAAATATAACATTAAAACCTTAAAAAGAAAAAATGAATACACGTCACAGCAGATAATAAAAACCATCAACAAGTCCTTTAAAAAAGCAAAAATCACCTGAAAAAAAAGACCCAAAGCCCCAAAAGAAGCTAAAAACAACCGAAGATTATTAAAACATCTAAAATATAAAAGACATAGCCGCCCGTCTCCGAATCCATTCAATAGAAATGACTAATGCATCAAATAGTGGCCATCCATCATCATGTAGTTCTATGGCCGATATTTTATCTGTTTTATTTTTTGACAAATCCGGCATGACTATAAATATATAAAACCTCAAATCCTTTACTGCTGATCGTTTTGTTCTCTCAAAAGGCCATGCCGCACCCATTTTATACGCCGTTTGGTCCCTTGTAGGTTTAATCCCATAATCCGAACTCCTTAAAATCCGTAAATTCAGCAGCGGATTAGAAGGCCATCCTACCCCCAGACTCCCTTTTGTAGATGTAGCTACCGGATCTCTCGGCTAGGGATTAGGTGCCGCTTGCGGAATGGCCTATTCATCCAAATACTTAGATAAAATAACCAATAGATTCTATGTTTTGCTCGGAGATGGTGAATGTGCTGAAGGTTCAGTTTGGGAAGCCGCTAGTTTCGCCGGCCATTATAAACTAGATAACCTCACAGCTATAGTAGATGTAAACAGACTTGGTTAATCTGAGGAAACTTCCCTTGCGCACAATGTCCAATCTTATAAAAAAAGGTTCGAGTCTTTCGACTGGAATGCAATAGTGATAGACGGCCAGATATCCCTGCAATCATAAAAGCCTTCAATTAAGCCAAAAATAAAACCAAACAACCCACAGTATTAATCGCTAAGACCCTAAAAGGAAAAGATATCCCATCTATAGAAAATAAACTAGAATGGCATGGAAAACCATTAGGAAAAGAAGCCGAAGAAGCCATAAAACATCTCGAAAATTTAATAAAAGATAAAAATTTTACACCTTAACCAAATATAGAATAACCAGCCTAAGATCATCCTTTAGTCTAAGATTAAATAAAACTACAATCATTATCATATAAAAAAGGAGAAAAAGTAAATTATATATATATAAAATTAAAGATATAAAAAAATATATTTATATATAAATATATATATATATATATATATATATATATATATATTTATATTTATATTTATTTAGATTGCAACTAGATTAGCATATGGAACTGCATTAAAAAGATTAGGAACTGTAGATACATATAAACGTTTAGTATCATTAGATGGAGATACTAAAAATTCCACTTATGCGATTACATTTAAAAATGCTTTCCCTGATAGATTTATTGAATGCTATATAGCTGAATAGAATATGGTTTCAGTAGCTACAGGTTTAGGTTGTAGAAATAAAATTCCCTTCGTATCTACTTTTGGTGCTTTTTTTACCAGAACTTATGATTAAATTAGAATGGGTGCTATATCTTTAGCTAATATTAAATTAGTGGGTTCACATTGTGGTGTATCTATAGGAGAAGATGGTCCATCTTAAATGGCTTTGGAAGATATAGCTATGATGAGAGCAATACCTAATGCTATAGTCTTATACCCTTCAGATGCCGTTTCAACTGAAAAAGCTGTTGAAATTGCCGCTAATTAAAATTGTATTGTCTATATTAGGACATCTAGACCTAATACTGAAGTTATTTATGAAAACGAGGAATAATTCTAACCAGGATAATGCAAAACAATAGTATAAAGTAATAATGATAAATTAGTTATTGTAGCAGGCGGTGTTACTCTATTTGAAGCATTAGAAGCTTAAAAAACATTACTCGAACAAAATCTACATATTAGAGTTGTAGATATTTTCTCAGTAAAACCAATAGATAAAAAAGGCTTAATTAAAAATGCATAAGAATCAGGATTTAAAATCCTTACTGTGGAAGATCATTATATTGAAGGCGGCATACATGGTAAATAAAATATAAATATATTTTTTTTTAATATATAAAAATCTAAATATATATAAATATATATAAAAATATATAATATTTATATATTTATATATTTATATTCATATATTTTAATTTTATTTTTATTTATAGATGCAGTTTGTTAAGCTGTTTGTGGTGAAGGAAATATTAAAGTTTTCTAAATTGCAGTAGACGGAGTACCTAGAAGTGGAACATGTAAAGATTTAATGGATCATTATAAATTATCTGCATAGTTTATTGTTGAAAAAGTTAAGGAACTTTTAGTTTGATGTTTTTTCTTTTTTTTAATTTTTTATAAGAAAAAATAATTACATTCTTTATTATATATATTTTTTTTATTTATATAATTATTAAAAATAAAAAAACAATACAAACATAATTTCTTTTGCTATTTTTTATTTTATATAAATATGTTATATTAATTTTATATTTATATATAAAAATAACTTAAAAAAAAATGAGTAATTAAATAAGATCTTTTATATAAAACTAAAGTATTTATTTAATGAAAAAAATCAAAAAAAAAAAATAATATAAATTTCATATTTTTGTTACATTTAGATTCTTAAATAAATTGTAATAAAGAATTAGAAAATTCAAAAGACAAACCTAAAAGTAATAAATAAATAATATTTTCATCTAAAATAAAAAATAAAAAAAGCAATATTAGATGAATATAAATAAATAAACAACGAATTAAAATCTTAATTAATATAAAAAGAACAGACATACATTAATATACAATATAAAATTTAGTTTATTGTTTTTTTTGTTTTAATAAATAAATTATAAAAATAATAATAAATAGATAAATTGAACACACATTAAATAATATCCAATAAGAAGAACAAAAATAAAATATAAATATAGAAAAAAATTAAGGCGAATTAAATGGCGAAAAAATAATTAATTTAAATAGAAAATTTAATTTTTACGAAGATTAAATAAAACAACTAAAATCAAAAATCCAATCTTAAAACGATTACGTTTAAAAACTAAACCTAGAAAACCAAAAGTTATAATTTTTGAAAAAAACGGCCTAAGACAAACAAAACATAATAAAATCTTTAAGGAATGAAAACAATATTTTATAACAATAGTAACAAGAAAATTTTTAAAACGTAAAAAAATTAGATTTTAACTAAGAAAATGAATTAAACTTTATTACTTTTATCCAAAAATAATCATAATAAAATTAAAATATATGAAATAATGAATATATATATATAAAAATTTATTAGATAAAAAAAAATGATTTTAAATATTTGTTTTATTTGTTTTTTTCAAATATATCTGTAAACTATAGAAGCTACTATAAGTAAAATAATAACTTTGATATTTTTTTTGACAAATTTAAATGTTTTATATCCAAATTAGAATAAAGGAATACATTTTTTTATCATTTATACTTACTTTTTTAATTATTCCGGTGTTTAATTTTAAAGGAAGCTAGATATAGGATTGCCTGGACCTAACTATTAGCAGATCATTTTTATCATTTCAGGATTACTAACAACCATATTTAACATTGTGTTTATCATTTCCGGGTTATTAAGGCAATTAGAAAAATCAGGAATTGCTTGAGCTTAATTACCTTATGATTAAAATAATTATTATTATTGTTATTAATTATGTTAAATACTCTATTATTATTATTAATTTTAAATTGTTTATTATTAACCTGGATACTAATTTTAAATATCCATACTTGCTGCAGTTTAAAGAATTTCAGGTGTCATCATATTTTTCATCATTTCGATTTATTAATCTGACATATCTATTCCTTAAGCTCTATACATTTATTTTAAAAATGAATTATCCATATTTTTTAGCATTTATGTCATACTTTGCATTTAATCAGGATTCTAATAAATAATAAATTATTATTATATAAAATATATATTATTATTATATATATATATATTTATATTATTATTTATTTTTTTATATTAATTTCTGTATATTTTATTTTAATATTTATTTCTTATATTAATTTTTCTACCATATTTTTTAAGGCTTCTTTACTTTATTTTATTTTGTCCTTTTCTAATTAAGATACTACAGGTATATTTTATTATTAAATATGTGTATTTTTTAATTTTTATTCTTTTTTTATTTTATCATTTATTCTTTTTATTATAATTCTTTTATTTTTTCTTAAATATTTCTTAATTCTATTTCTTCTTCTGTTTCATTATTTGAATTTTTTCTATTTTTTTCTTATATATATTCTTCTTTTATTTAAAAATCTTGTTTTTATTCTTCTTTTTATTAAATGTTTTCTTTTTTTTTGTATTTTCTTAAAAATTTTTTTCTTCTTTTTTTTCTTATTATTAATTATTTTCTTTCTTTTAACATTTTTCATAACATGCACTCCATGTATCTTTTACTATATATAAAAAAAATAATTATTCTAAACTAAAAAATAAAATTACTTGATTTATCCTCCGGACTAGCATTTTTAGCTTTCGTTAAAAAGGGAAGAGCTTTTTCGAATTTTCCCAAATTAAAATGAGCTTGACCTAATCTGAAATTGGCTTTTAAATTTTCAGGTTCAATTCCAAGAATCGAACTAGCATGAATAATAACCGAATGGAAATCTTATTATTTAGCCTTTACAGTGCAATAATTATTTCTACACATAATTTCCAATTATTAAAGTTCTTATTATTTTAAACCTTATTAATTATTTAATTTGCTTTCTTCGATTTCTAGTATGGCCTATAAATAATATTTAGATGCCCCATCATAATCTTCTTCGCTGAATTTTTTAGATCCTTAATTTTTTAAGCTTACAATATTTGGAAAATATTAAAACTATTAATCCTTTGGAGTTTATTATTATTATGGATTTTAGAAATTATTTTTATATATTGAATTTGGATCCATATTTTTTGCCTTTTTGTTAATAATATATATATATTTATTTTTTAATAAATACCATATTTGTCATTTATTCTAATTATTTGCTATCCATATTATCTATTGTTGATTACATTTATCTCATTAATTTCGGATCTGCATTTATTCCTATATATTATATTATATTATTAAATATAAATTTCTTTTTTTAAAAAAATAAAAATAAAAAAAATTGCCTGTTTGAAGAAATAATCGCTAAAGTTCATCATCAGACATATTTTTCATTTTTTGAGAAGCTTATTTTACCATATCTGGGTTCATGTTTTGGGACGCTTATTTTATTAAATCAGGATTAAACATTTTTTGTATTATTTTTTTCGAACTAATTTTAGTTTGGTTTTTATTTAAAATTATATATTATGTTATTTGCTTTAAAAAAAATAAAAATATCAATTATATATTATAAATTTTCAATTTATTTGTTTTTTTTTTTTAAAAAAAATACAAAAAATTAATTAATAAAGATATTTTTAAAATGCAATTTTAATTTTTAAAAAAATATATAAATTTATAAAAATAAAATTTTATCTTTTTTTCTATTTATTATTAAATTTTTATATCTAATTTAGAAAAAAAAAAAATATATATTAATTAAATTGTTTTTAAGAAAAAAAAAAAAAATTAATTCATTCCTTTTGTAAATATTTTCAAAATTAAAATTTAATAAAAACAAAGAAAATAAATATAAATAATATTTTTATTATAAAAAATAAATAAATTTAATTTATCTATATACAAATATTAATTTAAAATAAAATGAAAACTTAAAATCTTAACCAAAAATAATTTTTTTAATTCACAATTTACTTTAATTAATTAATTCAGTAATTTTTATAAACATATTTTATTTATACATCGACATAATATCTTAAAAACTTTTTATCATTTCAACAATATAAGCTAAAGGAAGTGAACTTTATTCATTAATTTTGTCCTTTTCAGTTCTAGTTTAATTAATACTGTCTAAATCAATATCAATATAGGTAGTTTTTTTTTATAAGATCGAGAAGGACTTTACTTTTCATTATTATTAGTAATAGAATCATTAAAAATATTTTCTTAATTATGGTCATCTTTTTATATTTAACCCGCAAAAGAAAGTACAATAATCATCATTTTATTTACATGAACATTAACCTATTAATTTAAAGATTTTCTGTTAAAAATGTTATTAGTTTATTATATAGTTTAATTTTAATTATCATTTTAAAAAACTGTCAAAAACAAATCGCTTTAATTGAATAAAAAATATAAAAAAAATAAAAATAAATAAAAACAATATATTTTCATTGGGATTTAATTCTAAAAATCTTAAATTATTATCAACATTTTAAGCTAAAATTTTAAAGGATTCATAAAATTGTATTTATAAATTTTAAAATATTTTATTTTTCTTAACTAAAAAAATCTCTACATAAATAAATATCACTTTCATTATTAAAACAATTTTCAGAAAAATCCCAAGGACCGTTTCCTAAAAGGCATGGTAATGTTTTTTAATTTTATTGAGATAAACAAATCCAATTTTTTAAAGAATCCTTAAAATATATAAAATTATATATAAAAAAGAAGTAAATATAATTACAATATATATATAAAAATATATATATATATATATTTATATTATATATTCTTTAAATTTTATATATATTACTTAAAAAATAAATTTAATTAAACTTCCTTTTCTTAATATAATATCACAAATATCTTTTTCAAGTTTATATAAATATTTAAAAAATAATTTATTAGCAATATTTTAATGTCTTAAAAGTCTTTAGAAATTATACAAAAGAAAACTTTCATACTTATGAATAGGAGTTAGATTTATTACATTAAAGATATCGAAAAAATTTCCATAACTTTCATGAAAATAATCAATTTCTAATTTTTGAATTTATTCTATATTTAAGTCTTTTGTGAGAGCTTTTTTAATAATATAATCAGAATTTAAATTAAGTTCATTTTTTTCTCCAAATTCTTCTCTTATTTTTTATAATGCTATATTTTTTTAAATCATTTCATCATCTTATTATTCTTATTCTAAGCTATTTTAAAGATCAAAAGTATACTATTTCATTCCAAAAATATCTTCACAAAGTAAAAATTCTTAATTAAAATCTATTTCATAGTTTTATTATTTCGCTTAATTATTTTTTTATTATTAAAAAAATTACGAAATGGGTTTTATTTGTTATTATATATTTAATATTTATTGCAAATATATATTATTTTGATTTTTAATTAATTAAAAAGAATTAGATTAAATTAAGAAATTCGAAGGCGAACTTATTTCATCTTAAAAACAACTTATTAAATATTATTTATTCGTTAATATTTTTTTATTACTATAAATATTATTGTTTGCTTTTAAGATATATATATATATATATATATATTTTATATAAAATATTTTTTTTTATATACATTTTTCGAAATCATAACAAATATTACTATTAAATTTATTTTACTAATCATTATTTAAATTATAATTTTAAGTGTCTAAATTTTAATAATACGAAACACTTCTTATAAACGGAAAATGAGGAATATTATTAGCTTTATTATAACCATTTATATAAAAATTTTCATTTTTTTATTTATTTTAAAATAGAAAATCTTTTTTAAACTTAAAATTCTCAAAACTATATTTATTCATTTATAAAAAAATATTTTCATCAATCTAAATACTCAGATTTTTTTCATTATCTTAAATTTTGTTTGCTATTGAAGGATTTTAGGACTGTATGTTTTATAAAAGCTATAATATTTATTTATATTTGTATATTCCGGCATATTAATATTTATTATCTTTCTTTAATTAATTAATTAAATTTTATTTACTTTATTTTTATATATTTTATTATTCAATTAAATCCAATTTTTATTCTATTTTTTTAACTTTTTTATCAACAACTTTAAAAACTTCCCAAATTAAACCTTTAAAACAAAATATAATATTAGCTTAATTAAAAAAATATAATAAAATACCTTTGACTAAAGATAACAAAAGAAATTACACAATTATATGAAAACTACAAAAAAAGAAAAAGGATATAGAAAAACTTTCAAATTTATAAGCATAATCGTAAATAAGTAAACTCCAAGAAGATTCAATCATAACAGAAAACAATAAAAGTAGTGATTTTCCAAATGTAGTAAAATTAGTAAAATTATTTTCATATGGAGAATTTTTTTTAAACTAAAAAGTATCAGTATTATAAATATCCATTCCAATCATAGCATAAATAAAAAAATAATTAAAATTATAGGTAAAAGATTAATAACTAAAAATATAAAAATATATAAAAATTATTAAGTATAAAAACTTAAAATATATACAAATATATATTTATAAAAATAAAAATATAAATAAATATATAAAATATATATATATATATATATATATATATATTATATATATATAATTATTTTTAATTTTTTTTTTTCTTATTATAAAATATACCTACAGGAAAACATAATAATATTTTTTTATTAATAGATTTAATTAATTTAAAACTTCTGCTCCTTAAGAAACAAATGATATAAATTTCATAGTTCTAATAGCTTTTAAAACTTTTAAAATTCTATTCATTTTACTTAGTCTCATTATCTTAGTAGTTTTTGCATATTTAAAATATTATAATTATTATAGAACTTAATCTAAAGCACTATTTAATACTGCCAATATAATCATACAAAAATCAAACACATTCCAATTATCTTCATAATATTTTTCCACACCTAAACCTATAATTTTAATAATCCATTCTAAAATATATATATAAGTAGCTATTCCATCTAATAAATCAAACAATTAAGCCTAATATTCACTATCTATAAATGATGAATATATAATCATTACTGAATTTATAATTAAAATTGTAAACATTATAATTTCAAAATATGTACTTTTACATATTTATTTTAAACATAATTTCTTATTAATTTTATTTCTAAACTTTAACCAAAAGTGAAAATCCTTAAACCGAGGTATTTAAAAATAACTTTTACTTTCTACTAAATCTATTATTTTAAAAAATTAATCTAGCCTTACTTAATTTTAGTTTGATTTATCAATTATTTAATATAATTATTTTATTCTTTTAATATATCTTTTTTTATTCAAATAAACTCTGGACATAAATGCTAAAAATATCTAATAATCTATATTTTTTTAGCTTTATTTATTATTAAATAAATAAATAAATAAAAATACAAAAATATTACTTTTTAGCATTTAGACATATATAACATATAAAAAGAGATTTTCTTTATTTTATTCTGTCCATTAAGGCATATTTGCATCTTTAGCTCTATATTTATTAATATAAATTTTATAATTAAAAAAAATAATACTGTAAATGAAACAAATACAATCGATATAGGAATTGGTATTAAAATTAAAATAAACAAAACTAAAGTAGTTACAAAATATAAAACATATAATTAACTAAATTCTTTTAAAATATAAATTTTAATAAATAAAAAAATATATGTTATAAATTTAAATACATACTATAGGAAGGTATCATGCAGTCCGGATATCCATCAAAAGTAATCATAGTATAAATAATACTATTAGCAATAAATAAATCATCAAAATTACTCTTTAAATAATTATATATATATATGTAAAAAAAATAAAAAAAATTATATATATATATATATATATATATGTAAATATATATATATTATTTTTACATATTTATTTAATGCAATATAATAAATTAAAATTTTATATAAGGCAATAAAATAAAATATATTATAATTAATAATTATATTTGATGATTTACTTTATAAGCATCATATTCAACTTATCCTTCCAAATTCCCTATCAACATCCATCCAATTAAAGCGAAAAAAAAGCAAAATCCAAATATAAACATAAACAATTGTAAAATTTATTTGTAAGATTTTACAATACTTTTAAATGACCTTCTAAATTCTCTTGAATAAAATATGGCTAAAACTATAATTGATTATTTATTTTTTATATATTTATATATATGCATATATATATATATATATATACATGGGCGTATATATCTTGCTAATTTTATATTATTAAGTGGAAAAATAGTATAAAAAAGTATTGAGTCAATGAAGCAAAATAAAATAATAAAAACTCTTAATATAAATTTGTTATTTTTAAGAAATTATTTCTTATATTTAATATCTCCGTTTTTCAGTCTATGAATAAATTCTAAAGCCGCATCTAAAAAAAATAAATTAATAAAACAAATTTCGAAATATTATTAAGTCTTTGATTGTTCATAATACAAAACATGATGGTTAGCAGGTTCGAAAAAGCTAAAAAGCGGATAAATTAAAGAAATAATAAACAATATATAATTCCAAATAAAATTAGTTTGCCATAAGTAAATAAAATTCAAAAGAAAACTATTATTTACTAATTTTTAATTTATTTTTATATAAAATAAAAATAAATTAAGGCTAACTATAAAATACTTAATATTTAAACTAAGATATAATCATAATATTTATAATATTACATTCTATATCATGTCTAACTTGTCTTAAATTAATTCCGTCTTAAAAATGTCTCACTGCTTTTTCTATTCTTTATTCAAAAGTTAAAGTTTCTAAATGGTTTATCAATCTTTTAATTATTTACTAATTATTTTTTATAAATAAATTTAGTTAATATATATTGATATTTTTTATATTAACTATGTTTTTTGTCTGCATATTCTCATATTTATTATTTTTTTTATTTATTATTGTTCTTTTTACTTTATATTTTACCAAAATATTCAGTTCCACTATATTATTTTTAATTCATAGAAACCTTTTTCTTTATTTTAAAATGAAAATTAATTTTATATACTTATTGAATCTTTTTTATTGCTAAATTGCTTTCTTTTAACGAATATTTTATTTTATTTTATTTTTTAAATAAAATAAGGTTGTTAAAAAAAAGAAAACAAATATAAAATGCATATATAACAAATTCAATAAAAATAAATATAATAAAATTAATTTTACATTATTAATATCGAAAATAGTTAATAAAAGTAATATAATAAAAACTAATATATAATAATTCCATATAAATTTATTTAATTAATAATAAATAGATTTATTAAAAATATGTTAATATTAATAATAGTTTATAATAATACATAATTTTATAAATAATAATTAACAAAAAATAAATATAATTCTTACTAAAAAAACAATAATAATAGAATTTTTCTTTACTTAAAATAATAATAATATAAAATATAATTTGTTTGTTTATTTCATATATCTTTTGCTTCTTCTAAATTATCTTTCTATCCGAATTCGTTAATATCACCATTATTATTAACATCTTAAAATTAAGACTCTAGAAATTCTTTAAATTTAAAAGTTTCATTCATAATTGTATCCATAGAGAATTTTTCTCTATCTTTTAATTTTGCAATTAAGCTTTAATATTTAAGAATTTCCGAATTAGTTTAATTCATAGAATTTTAAATTGATTCGATTTTTTATTAATATTATTTTGATGCTTATTCAAATGAATTTTTTTCCCTATTTCTTTCATCTTCCAATTATATTTACTATTCCTTTTGTAAATTAATTTAATGCAAAAGTGCCTTCTTTTTGTTTTCCCAATCATCATTTACATTTTATAAATCTTTTTTCATTCCCTATGCCTAACTTTTAATATCGTTTCTTTCTTTTATTAAATCATCTATTTTTAACTTTTCATCTCTTAATTATTATTCTAATGCTTTTGTTTTCGTTTATAAGTTACCTTTTTAAGTATTTAAATCTGTTAACTTCCATTATAAATCTTCATTTATTTTTTACTAATGTTCTATTTCTTCATTAAGTTTCACTATAGTATTTTATGTCTGTAAAAATATATACTTTACATGCTTTTCTAAGCCTAATGTATTTTCTTACATATTATTAGTTGTATATGATTTATTTTAACTCATATTTTAATCAAATTAATATTAATTCATTTTATTAATTTTCTAATATAAAAACTAAAAAAACTAAAAAAAAAAAAAAAAAATTGTTATTATTTTTATTTTTTATATATATTAAAAAAAATAATAAAAAATAATTTTTAATTCAAGTAAATTTTTTTATTTTTATAAAATAAAAATTCTTTTCTATAAAAATACATATAAAATAAAATTTTAATAAAAAAAAAAAAAAAAAAAAAAAAAAAAATTTATTATATATATTATTTTTTTTAACTACTATAAAAAAAATAAAAAAAAAATATAATAAAAATTAATAAATTTTTTGCCTTAGATAATTTCTCAATGTAAAGGTGAAGCTAATTTTTAATCATTTTATTTCTTATCTACATTTTAATCTTTACTTTTAGATCCACTCTTAGATATACTCTTTGATACTGAATGAGATCCGGATTTTGAATTTGAACCAGTTCTAGAACTGTTTGATGATTTAGAAGATGAACTTGAGCTTTTTCTTCTTTTTTCTGAATTATCTCTTTTTCTTGATGAACTTCTAGAATCTGATGAACTTTAACTTCTTTTATTTCTTTTATTTTTTTTTCTTTCATCCCTACTACTTTCACTTCTACTGTCTCTTCTTCTACTTCTTGAATGTCTTCCACGATTTTTTTCATAACTTCTACTTCTTCCTCTATAATATCCACCTCTTCTATTTCTATCATCTATATTTAAATTTAATATATATACATATTTTTTATATTAAATAAAAAAATGTAAATAATATTAAAATTAAATATATAATTTAATTTAAATATATATAAAAAAATAAATCAAATTAACTTTAAAAAAAAAAAATTTTATATATATTTAATAAATAAATATATATAAAAACAAACAAAAATAAAAAAAAAAAAATCTAGACACATAAAAAAGATAAAATGTTGAAAAAAAAAAAAAAAAAAAAAAAAAAAATTAATTTTTTAAAAGAAAAAAAAAAAAAAAAAAAAATAAAATAAAATAAAAAAAATGGATTTTTATTTAAAAAAAATTTTTTTTAAAATTTTACAGGAGGATCTCCCCCAAAAATTTAAAAATTAACCACCGGGACAACCCCAAAAAATAGGCCCTTTTCCCCCCCAGGGGAAACAAAGCCCATTTTTCAAATTTTTTTCTTTACCAAATCAAAAAAAAAACCCCCCCCTTCCCAAAAAATTACCCC